CGGGGGGCTGAGCGAGGATAGCTTCAAATACATTGCCGACTTGCAAATTCCAAAGAAGTTCTATTGAGTGCGACACCAGCAGGGGTCTGGAAGCTGCTTTCTTCCATGCAACATCTGTTGCCTGGCAGACCCTTTGAAGGTGCACACATCTCACGACAGGTTTTTGGGGCCAGCAGAGATTATAAGGGATATCTTCAAAGCTAAATCAGCAGTTAAAGGTTCAATTGCGCTTTCTACTCAAGTGTTTCCTTGACTGCAAGGCAATGTGAGGCTCTGCCAGTCCCGGCGAGTTGTTCTGTTGTTTCGGCAAGCTACATTGAAAGCTAAATGGAGGATGTGTGGAGAAAGGGGGTCAGCAAAAATTGTTTATACGAAGTTAGTGCATCAAAAATACCTTCCACAAAGTTCTGCGAAGGTTTGTAGGTTTTTGTTGCAGTCAGCCTACTGGCCACGAATAGCCCTGGGTTTCACAAATGTCCTGGACCTTCCACGATGTTGGTAGAATAGGTTTTTGCAAAGCTCTTTCTGTGCACTACCCTTCCATTTGCCTCTGATACATGCTGCTAAGGCTGGTTACACTAACTGGAATTATCATGGAAATGGAAAATGGTCCCTTGGATGTGATTATTTCAGGGATTTTCAGGGAGTGTATGTGAATCTCTCTATAAATCAGCTATTGTTTTTGCTCGATCTAGGGTGTGATTACTTCAGAAACAAAGGACTGAGCGCAACACAATAGATTGATCTGACTCATGGATTTGGAATGTTCTTTTCGCCTCGAAACGAATGAGCACTTGCTGCCATCCGGCTGTTGCAATTCGCTTCCTGCGTAGCTTTTCCGTGTGCGCTTGTCCCAAACAGCCATGCGGGTTGAAGAACTGCCCGGCCCGGTACACTTTAGGCTACAAGTTATAAGGGTAGCTGAACAGCATGGAACACGGCATTTTCTGGAACAGCTGGAACGCCAAATAAGAGAGCATTAAAGCTGAGGTCATGACTCCGGCGAAGAGGCATGAGGCGGACCCAAAGAAACAAGTGCTGGACACGCTGTTCGACCCGTTTCCTCCTTTTCGAAACAAACGGATTTGAAGGCCACGATTCACGGCCTTCAGTGCCGTTGGTCCAGGTCCAGGATTCGCTTCATTTCGGGTGGGGAGGACACTTCGGATGGTGAACTAAAGGCCATAAGCATTATGGCATTTAACTCATTTGTATCACCAAATAATATCTTCATGGCCCTTGAACCTCATGTTGAATAGTATGCTTCCCCGCGGACCTCCAAGCCAATGTGACACAGAAGAAACTCTTTTGCAAGTATGGGCCACCAAACAGGAGGGGCCGGAGGGCAGCAAGAAGAAGCCGGCGCTGTCTAGTCCAGGCATCACATGTGCAACATGGAACTGTGGCAATCAGGTTGAACACTTGATCTCTGACTCTTGATTTTCTTTTGAAAGGCATTGCCCACTGCGGCCTTGCCCGAGCAGGGACCCCAATCCATCATCAGAAGGGGACAAACTGGACCACCAAGTCGAGGAGTGAGATCTGACCGTCTTTCATCCCGTCTTCTGATTGAGAATCATTAGAATTTTCTGAGATTTACCCTAAAATGTTGGTTGACAACTCATTTGTTCTTCTGGTTTAAGAAGCGGGAGCCACTGTTGCCCTCAAGTGTGTCGAGCAATAGTGTCTGGGGAGACTGCAAGCAACCACAAACGTCGTTTCGCATGAGCTTGATTGCCAACATTCTTTGCAGCTGGTCAGAGACATGTCGTGGTCAAAATGTCCGGACTCGATAATTAAGTCTAACCCGTCCAATGTGCTTCTTTGTAGCAGCGACTGATTTGACCAACACTCCTTGCTCTCATGTGGAAGTAGAGTGGGTAGGTCACTATTATGGTGAAGCAATACAGTCGTGTTGGCAGTGCTTCAAGCAAGCCTTGTAAAGTTTGGTGATTCCGCCGTGAATGACGCCAAGCCATCTCTCGGTCCAAATCACAGGACTAGAGAATCAACGATTGCGAAACCACAACAATCAGAATCAAGCATCAAACAAGAACCTTTGAAAGGCCAAGGTGACGATTGGTCAAGCTTCTTTAAAGGATGCCGTGGTGACCCTGTCTTGCAAAGGCCATTAAAACTCCGATCTAGTCGCTTTTGAACTGATTCGGACAGGAAGCCTATAACTGTAATGCTGATCATTCAGGCAGCCCGAAGCTTGCCAGTTTCTCCACGCATTGAAGAATGTCGACTCAACTGCCAAAGTGGATGGCAACAATATTCCAGCTTAAGAACCTTGTGACACGGTACTAATTACAACCTCGACACAGGTTGCCTTCAGAGCGGTTGCAGCCCTTGAGCTCGACCAAACGAGAGCTTTCATTCCTGGTCGTCCACGCCTCAACGAACGGCTCACGCGATCATGCGTTACCGCGCGGCATGAGCGATCACGCGAGCGCCCCCCGACCGGACATACCAGACCTGGCTTTCGGTCGTCTCTTCCTTCAACCGAAAGACCTACCAGACCTGGAGGAAAGTGATTAGCGCCGGGGATACGCGGACTATACACGGCCTTTGCACGAGGTATCCTCCAGCCCAGTCGAGTCCGGTCGGACGTTTCTTTTGAAGCGACCTTCTCTATTCCATAGACTCGCCTGAATTATCCCATGTTCATCAAGCGCAGCATGAGCTATCACGCGTTACCACCGACCCGACATACCAGACCTGGCTTTCGGTCGTCTCTTCCTTTAGTCGAAAGACCTACCAGATTAGAAGGAAAGTGACCAGCACCGGGGATACGCGGACTATACGCGGCCTTTGCACGAGGTATCCTCCAGCCCAGTCGAGTCCGGTCGGACGTTCTTTTTGAAGCATCCTTCTCACATAGTGCTCGGAGCTCGTCTCTGGTTCTGCAGGGAAAGTTCGGAATGGCTATTCCATAGACTTGCCTGAATGATCCCATGTTCATCAAGAGAGATCCAAACCTGATGAAGCATCGTCTGAAGAACATGCATCGTCTTACGAAGAACTACTGCCCTGCTGGCAGTTTTGTTGAGACTGCTCACGAGTACTTCGAACCATGTCTCATGTTTAAACAGACCAACTGTGAGGAGAGTGACAAGCAAGATTTCACCATGTAATTCGTCTTCAAAATCAAACAGATCAAAGGACGACCAATGGAGCCTGGCGACAATATAGTTGCATTTACTCTAATAAACTGACTGCGCCAAATCTTGATCTCAACTCGACCAAGAACAAGTGCTTGCTGCTCCGACCTTGTTAACACTGACGTTTGCTGCCTTTCTGATCAAAAACATTTGCCTGCCTCAAATCTCTGGACTCCCGTGTTCTGAAGCCCCGATATACAATCTGACCAACGGACTTGTTCGTGACAAGACTTCACGCGGCAAGACTTTGCCAGCAACGAAGACCTCACGCGGCAAGAAGCGACGCACCGGAGTGACTAAAGCCCCATCTCGCATTCAAACAAACTAATTGTGAGGACAGTGAGG